ATAGAGGGGAACGAACTGGAACCCCCCTAATGTGTCCTGTCAGGCACAGTGCCAGGTGTTTTCCCAGCATTAGCTTATGAGGTGGAGGAGGGACCCTGGGAAGCCCGTGGCTGGGACTCCTCCTGAGCCAGCCTCTCTGCTTCACAGCTGGGCCACTTTCTCCCTTGCCCAGTGTCCCCTTGGCCAGCCGCAGTTAGGTATATGCATAAGGCCGCAGGCTCAGGGAGTCCCCGTGGACAGACGTGTTGCCAGCAGCCCCCCTACGGCAAGGGAACGGGTCCTCCTGCCACGAGGGCAGCGAGCCTCCCTCCTTCGGGGCCCGAGGAGAGGAGACCGCCCGCCCTCAGTTCTCTCTGCTTCAACTTCAGACCAACTCCCCCCCTTCCCCTCACAGGCCCCCAAACCCAGAAGGTGCCCTGTGCCCCTTTTCCCTGCTGTCCCCTCTGGCATCCTGACTTTTCCTCAGTTCTGCGTGACACGGAGGGGAAGGGGGGAAGCGCCCAGCCAGCACCGTCTCTTGTGCTGGAACCTCATTCCCAGGCCCCCTGGCCTTCATGGCCCCCTGGCCTTCATGGGTTTTTCAGCAACTCGGACGACCACCTGCTGAAAAACATCGAGCTGTTCGACAAGCTCTCCCTGCGCTTCAACGGCCGCGTGCTCTTCATCAAGGACGTCATTGGCGATGAGATCTGCTGCTGGTCCTTCTACGGCCAGGGCCGCAAGCTGGCCGAGGTCTGCTGCACCTCCATCGTGTATGCCACGGAGAAGAAGCAGACCAAGGTGGGGGGCTTCCCTCTGCGTGGGTGGGGGCGGGACACACCCCAGCGCAGCCCCCGCTGTGCCCTTCACCACAGGGAGCTTGCTCTCTGTTTCCCCCAGACCCACATGATGGTGCTGGGCAAGGACGAAGCCAGTTCAGGCAGTTCGGGGATTGGCTCGCGAATGCTTCGTTCTGGTCACCTGAGCGGTGGGGGCTGTTGACCAGCAAGAACAGCGTGGTGCGGTGGGAAGGACCAGGTCTTTGGAGTTGGCCCAATTCAGGTCTGAATTCTGGTTCTACCACTCACCAGTTTTCTGACCTCGTACAAGCCATTTAAACCAGCTGGGCCTCAGTTTCCTCACCTGCAAACCTGGGCATGATAGTATGCAGTTGACGGGACTGTTAGGAAAACGCGGCGGTTCCTAGGAGCAGCAGTTCAGGCTCTGATCTCCTCTCTGGCCCTGCTGGTTGGTGTTCCCGGCCGACCAGCTTCGCCTCTGCAGGAACAACGCAGCGCCAGGTACGTGTGAGGGATTTGACAGGTGACAGTTGACACGAACTCTGCAAACCCCGTTCTCCCAGGCTGCGAGCGGTTGGTGTCCTCCCCAGAGAGGAGCTCCCCCCTGCCCCCCCGGGAGCGTGTGCAACGGAGGCAGCGGAGGCCTTTGCTGGGCCAGGAGGGTAGCCCACTTGGAGGGTCGTGTGCGTGAGGGGCTCAAAGCCGCCAGGCCTGTGTAGCCCCTGCTCGGCCTGCAGGCCCCCGAACTGCCTCCAGCTGGGCCGCCAGACGGTTGGGGAAGGACAGCTTACAGGAGGTGGCCCTGCTTCCTCCTGGCATTTTGGGGGTGCGGACTCCCGTGTGCACGTATCAACAGAGTCAGGATTCAGGGTCAGGTCTCTGTGGGGGCTGCTTACACTTGGAAGTGGCAGCAACCCCGTTCACCTTCCTGAGCGTTTTCTCTTTCGTGGACTTTGGGACTCCTCAGGCAGGGCTGGAGCATTCTCCCCATTTGACAGATGAGGGAACAGAAGTCAAGTTAGGCTAGAATCCAGGTTCCTTTGTGTCTTCCACGTGACGTTCACAACAACTCTCTGAAGTAGGTATTAGCCCTGATTTTACATGGGCGGACACGGAGGCCTCGCGGCCCGTAGGTGCTGGGCCCGTACTGAAGGCTGGCTCTGAGCACAAAGCCAGGGCCCTAACCCTGCACACACCAGCCCACTGCTCCAGGCTCGCGTGGGGCACGGGCAGCATGCTAGTCCTCGGCGTCCTCATGTCCACAGAGGACAACTCCCCACTTCTCCAAAGAAAGACCTCCCCTCGCTCACCTGTCTCAGGAGAGAGTTCGGGAGGAACTTCGAGAGCCAGCACAGGGGCGAGGGCCCTGCCATGTTGCTGCCTGTTGGATGAAGCCTCATTCGGTCCTCTTGTCCCCCTGACCCCAGGTGGAATTCCCAGAGGCCCGCATCTATGAGGAGACCCTGAATGTCCTGCTCTATGAGACTCCCCGAGTCCCTGACAACTCCTTATTGGAGGCCACCAGCCGGAGCCGCAGCCAGGCTTCCCCCAGTGAAGATGAAGAGACCTTCGAACTGCGGGACCGGGTCCGCCGTATCCATGTCAAACGCTATAGCACTTACGATGACCGGCAGCTCGGCCACCAGTCCACCCATCGCGACTGACAGGACCCTCAGGGAGTCAGGGCACGGGCCACCCTGTCTCCCCTCCTGTGGAACCCTGCCCCGCTGGCCGCCCCACGCTGCTACTGGCTGGGTTTCTGCTCCAGCGCCCAGAGGCCTGACAGGAGGGCAGAGGGCCTGAGCAGGAGAGGGACCACATTGTTTGCCCTGCTCCCTGAGCACTTCCGGATGCCCGGGTCCTGGACCCTTTGCTCACCCTTCCTGACAGGAGCTGCGTCTGCCCCTGGGGCGAATGGACTGACCTGCCCACCTCCCACGAGAACAATCCCCTTGCCCCCTTGCTGAGTGTCCTTTTGCTCCACTGAAGGGCTACCTTTAGGCCTCTGGGGAGGTCCATGGGGAACGAGCTCGTTCTGGTGCTGTGGAGGCCCAGTTTCTTACAGAAGGTGGGGCTCCTTTTTCCCTAGGTGTTTAAGCACAGGCTTCATGATTTTGGTTTTTAAAAAATTATCTAGGAAATGAATAGTTTTGAGTCTAATAATGAGGGGAATAGGTATTTGTGCTACCCCTCTAGGGTGCCAAGACCCTGGGTAGAGGGCAGAACCTTTGGCCTTCCTTGATGCCTTTGACATCTGTTTCTTTAAAGCACTTTGTACTTTTATTCAGGAGATTTGTATTCTGCCCTGACACGCATCAACTTTTTCTGACCCTAACCCCTCTTCCCTCCAGAATCCGTCTGAGAGAGGGGCTAGAGAAGCAATAAAACAAAATACGGACTAACTTTGGCTTTGCTGGGCTGGCCAAACAGCCGGCCCAGAGAGCATGGACAGGAAGGAAGGGAACTGTAGTCCTAATAATGCCCATGAGAAAGGACATTTTCAGGTCACGTAATGGAGTCCTGGGGCCTAACATGATTGCTCTTTTTGATTCTCTTGCCCTCAGCTCCAAGGTATGCTTTGCTTTACTTTCTGGAAAGCCAAAGGGCCGTTACAGGGGCCAGGAGCATGAGCCGCAGCGGGAAAGCTGTGGGGCCCGTGGGCACCGCACTCAAGACGCCCACCAGCTGAGGACAGTGAACGTGAGCTCTGCGTTCCCAGAAGCCCTGTGCAGAGGTGGCATGTGCTTGGCCATATGGCCCCTGCCCGCCCCATACTGTTGGTTTTGTGTCCCGGCTGGGGTGGGGGGAGGTGGTGGTGTTCTGCCCAGCGTTGAGTCTGGACGCAGGGTGATGGGAGCAGCCTAAGTCCCTTCAAAGGCTGGGTGATGTGGCCATGGAGCTGCCAAGGCCCAGCTCTTGGGCAAGGATGCAAGTTACTCCTTGGGGCTTTTTTTCACTACCTTCTGTTTGGCGTGGCCCTTTGGGAGGCTGCTTATCCGAATTCTTTTCCAAAGGAATGCCATCAGGCTGGGAGCTGCTCAGCCAGCCTAAGAAAACCCCACAGCCACTGAGCGGTAGCCACTCGGGAAGGAGTGCCAGTTATCAGGCTCCTGGCTCCTGACGACTGTTGCTTAGCTAAGTGGCCTGCTTATGGCCGACGCAATGGAGCCTATGGCAAATGCTAGGCCCGGGTTCGTAGACACCTACAAGGACCTGAAATGACATGATGGGGCAGGGGAAGTGTGACTAACCAGGCATTTGACGCTTGTCACAGCCTTGCAAATGTAGACTTCCAGGTGAGGCACCCTGGTCATCAGCTCGGAACACTTCACCCAGCCCTCCCTGGAGTAGAGGTGAAGACAAATCCATTTCTTTGGCCAGATTCCGCCTTTGGCTTTGTGGCTTTCCCACAGAGACTGGAATGCTTCTGCCTGAGGCCTCTGGCCTATTTCCTCCGCTGCCCTCCTGAGGCCTCTAATACTCAAAGCCCCAGCTTCCCACTGAGGTATTTTAATGCCTGTCCTTTGACCTCCCCAGCCCTGCAGCCTCTTTGCTGCTCTGACATTTAGATCCTCAACTCTCTCGGTGGTGACTATTCTTTTTTCCTGAGAAAGCACAGTAATCCTGGACTGATCAAAAATATCTCCCTGGTCTTAAGAAAAATACTAACATTGAAATCACTGAAGTCAGCTTCTTTAATCGGACTTTGTGGCATAAGGGTTGGGGGAATTTTCTTTGCGTTTCTCAGCCCCATTCAGAAAGCAGCTCTTGGCTGTGTGAATTTTTCAACTCGGAGCAGCCCAAGGGAAAGCAAAGAGTGTGGATGAAGGTCAAACCTTCTCGGTTTCTGAGAAAACTGGAAGCCTGCTGTTCACCACAGGTACCAGGACTGGGTTTTATTCCATTTCTTATCTGACCAATGTCTGCCTAAAGGATGGCCCAGGTCCTGCCACGAGAGAAGGTCTCCTTTGTCCCTTAACTGCAATCCCTTGTTGCTCAGCATGGGTGATGGAAACCGACACTAATTTCTAATAAAATTGTGTTACACCGCAGTGGTGCGGTGCTTGCGGTGCTTCGAGCTGGGTCAGCTCACTGCTGTGGACAAAGTTCTTGTATTCCTCCCGCTCATCAGCTTGTGTTCGCCCCGAGTCGGAAATCCTACTGCACTCAGTTGCCCTGCAACCCAGGCTCCCCCTGGTGGAGGATTAAGGACAACACTAATAAGGGCTGGAACTGAGATTTAATATTTTTCAAGAATAAAACGACCTCTTTTAACAATCACTATGGTAGTAGGGAAGCAGGAATCTCTAAGATTCGGGGGAAAATGCAGCACATTTCATCTCTGGCTCTTGGAGATTTGCGAGCGGCTCAGAAAGTAGCTTGGCTCAGTCCCCTCCTCGGCTAAGTTTCTGCATTTGCGGTCTGGAAAGGCCTGACAGATAGAAGCTCGCGGCTGGCAGGCCTGTTATTCCAGGGAACTCACACTGCTTGCCTCACTCCTTCCCAGGCCCAAGGAGGCCAGCGATGTCAATGGTGGCCAGTGCTGAGAGCCCGAGCCTGATGCTGGCCTCCTGCTCAGCATCTGGCAGAGGGTAAAGAAGACAACAGGAGTCCAGTCTAGTCCCCACCCCACTGGCTGAGAGGCACAGTGACCCTGGGAGACGTCCAGCCAAGCCCCAGCCTCAGGAGAGAAAGAGATACACTCTAGTAGATGGGGCAGTTTGCTGGAAAGGCAGCAAGGACAGCAACCAAGGGCCCCCACTGCGTCAAAAAGGGAGCCTGAGACCCCGGGGGCAGAAATGGCGAGGGGGGCCAGGTGTGCACTGGTTTATTGACCAAACCTCATATTCCAAACAACTTGTGTGACAGGCCAGGAAACCCCAGGCCTGTGGCAGCTGAACACAAACGTCCTGGTGGAAAGGTTTACTGGAACACAGTGTAGCCAGGGCTTACGGGGGAGGCCAGCCTTGGAGGAGTCCTACACAGGTCTTCTGGAGAAAACGATTACACCCACCCACCAAAAAAGAACCCCACAATCAAATGGCGCAAACGATAAAGAGACCCACTGTGGCCCATGGTGGAGAGTTCTGCAGCAATTGTGGGATGAGAGCTGTTCTTCAGGGGCCGAGCCTAGGCACTCAAGCCTCAGCTGGCCTACCAGTGAAGGCCCGAGGGTGGTGTCTTCTCATCTTTATTGCTTTCTAGGGAGAAGGGAGGGATCCGGACATCAAAGTGGGAACCATCAGGCCTCTCGAAGCGGAACGTGCCCCTGTGCGTCAGAGAGAAGCTGGGTTAGAGGGAGTGAGGGCTGAGGCCCTACTGAGGATCTTGAGAGCCCAAGGCCCTCAGCTCCGGAACTGAACACAGCAGGATGAGGGAGGATGGGCTCTCTCCAGCCTGGCTCATGTCAGGATAACACTGGTCCAGAAACCCGAGAGCCCTTCCTGGCCCTACATGAAAAGAAGAAACACAGCTGCCCTGATTCTGGCCCTTAGATGTACGCTGCATAAGCTACCCAACCATACTTTCAGGTTAAGGAGTGAACCACCAGGGGAAAACCAGCTACATGGGCAACTCAGTGCAGCACCAAACCGTCAGACCTCTTGGGCCTAAGTCCTTAGTCCATGAAATCACAGGAACTAGAAAACAGAAAAAAATCAGACAAGTCCCACCCAAGAATGAACAGCAGCTAAAGCTCCATCTCTAGATGTCACCTGGCCCAGAATTAACGGCAAACTCTGAGCTCTCGCTTTTCTGAGCTGCGCCTGCGTGTGTGGAGTCGAGGCGCCCCGTCCCACGCGAGCCCACTCACCACATGTGGCCGCTGGAAGCCTGCAGGGAGACATGGCTGCTATACTGGAATGCGGGCTGCTCCTTGGATAACACGGGTTCCTGGGAGGGTTCAGGCAAAATCCGTAAGGCCGGGCCAGCTCCCTGTACCCCGGGGCCACACGCTGCCAGTTCATCAGGACGATGCCCCCTCCGGCCTCCCACAATGACTGCGGGCCAGTACCACCTCCCGGAGCACAGCCACTGACGTGGGCCTTGCATTCTGCTTCTGGGAAAGAGAACCTCACACTCAACATCCGAGGTCACTGGGCAAAGATGCCGGGCATAGGACCTCCTCTGTAAATAGCCCTTCCAGAGTCCATTCACAGAGTGCCTGAGTGCCAGGACCAGGGCGGTGTTCTGCAAACCTTTGCTGACTTAAATCTCCTGGTAATTATGAGACTAATAGGTGTGACTCCCATTTAACAGGAAGAAACTGAGGTTTTTGGTTAAACTGACCCAAAGTTATGTGGTGAGTAAACCACACGTAGCTGGCATTCAAAGCCAAACTATCTCACTCCAAAGGCCTGTTCTCACTCAATATCCCACCCTGCTTCCCAAGCCCGTGCTGATGGGGATAAATACATGTTAAATGTGGCCACTGGCCATTTCTCCTGACTCTATTTCTCAGGAAACAGGGTGGGGTAGTGCAGGATTTGCAAAACCAGATCTCTTCTGGACCAGCAGAGGCGGCAGGTGTGTAAAGAGGCAGAGGAAGGGGCGCCTGGGTGGCTCAGCCGCTGGGCGTCTGCCTTCAGCTCAGGTCATGATCTCAGGGTCCTGGGATCGAGCCCCACATCGGGCTCCCTGCTCGGCGGGAAGCCTGCTTCTCCCTCTCCCA